AAAATACACCTATAGTATTTTAAGTTTAGTTCTATTGATCTTCTTGTGGTATTGTTGGTAAGTTTTTAGACTTGTTAACACATCACAACCATTCTAGGGCATATGCTAATCACTCGGACCAGCATAGTTGATCAGGCTATGCCATTCCCAGGACTGACCATATATCCCCGAGCTTACCTGTGATATTTAACAATCGTAATACTTTTGTTCTTGTCGTTGTGACACTGTTTTAGTATGAATGTAGACTAGTATACTTAATTAAATATTTTAGTATTTAAGTATAGACTCTTGGTCAGAGTGTTTTAATCCCAAATGGGTTTATAGTTTAGTATATCTTTTATGGGTTGATATACTTGATTCACTATAAACAATGCTCTGATACCAATCTGTCACACCCCAAAACCAAGAACGGCGGAAACGTTCTGGGGCGGAGGACGTCATGTAAAGTATCACAACACAGTAAATGTAAATAAGCAAACAACATCATCCATTGCATTAAATATATAATTTTAATACAAGCGTGTTCTGTACAGTATAGACACCAAAAATAATGTATATCAAAATAATAAGATGAGTCTTGAATGCGCTCCATCTTCTCAAAAGCTGGCCTCGGTACCTGTCTACTGATGACCTGAGAATACAAGTTATTTTGAAAGAGTTTATCAGCATTAAGCTGGTGAGTTCATAAGTATTTTAGTGTCGGTATTTGTCATCCAAAAATGTTTGAACATGTATCAAGTATAAGTTTGTAAAATGTATGTAAAGGTTTGCAATTGTTTGTAAAAGTTTGAATCTCTCAGAAAAACCTATATTTTCTATTAAAGTAGCCTTCTACCAAGGCTTAACTGTTTTGTATGCTCGTTTGATGTAAAAGTGTGTAATTTCCCAAGTGTAACTATCATTTAACAAAATATAGTTTGTACATTAACGTTTAAGTGAGGTTATCACTAAAATATGTAATGGGTAAATCATTGTAGTACTGTAGTCTTGTATTATAAGAACTACTGTTGTACTAACTACCTTAAACCGGATTTATATTAAGGTATTATGTGATAAATTGCACCATACTATCGACTAGTAACAACGACATAATGAATGGTCGTAATAACGGAATGACGTTTGGCACCCGCAGACCTGCAGGTCCGGCTGTAGCTAGCAGCAAGGTGTAGGATGTCAATCCAGTATAGATCTATACGCAAACTCACGCTCTCCCTCCAAGAGAATTCTGGCTACAACTCGAGCCATGACATTTAAGTCATGCTCCGATTTAAATCACAATAATTAACGTATTCATGTATATGTAATGTTTCTCGTTCTAGTATAGTTGTATATGTATTGTTTCTAGTATATTGTATATGTATGTTTCTAGTATAGTTGTATATGTATGTTTCTAGTATAGTTGTATATGTATCGTTTCTAGTATAGTTGTATATGTATTGTTTCTAGTATAGTTGTATATGTATTGTATTACCCCGATGGTAACTAGCTATTGATGTACTGATAAATATGAATATGGAAGTACTTTTATGTCTATACATGTATATATGATATATAACTAATATGAAACGACCCTCGGATGGTCACCCGAAATCCCACCAGACCACATCTCAGTGCGCGAAAAGGAAATAGGGCGGATGGCCTTCCTAAGCCCTTTAAACATTACTTATATATCTATACATATATGGGCATGCAATTTATAAGAAGTAAAACAAAGTTTAATAAAAGCATTTGATAAGTAAAAGAGTTTGTAAAACATTTTGAAGTGAAACAGTTTGATAAACAGTTTGAACAGTGATAAAATCATTGGTTTTCTAGTTATTAATCACATGTGATTAATGCAATCACATGTGATTGATGCAATAACTATAAGTATTTAACTTGTATCCCCCCATAAAGTATTTAAAACATTTAAAAGCATTTCAAAGGTTGATTAAAGGGGTATGAACTCACTTGTGGTGAGTAGATTGGATTGATGTATCGGGTACCGTGCTAGGTGGCAAACGGAGACTTGTTCACACGTTCGAGCCTAGTTATCATATAATGAGCATATATATAACTAATTAGCCAAATAATAACTTAACAAAGTAAGTTAAGACACTTAGGAACATGTAACACTTTATATAAGTGTTATAGGTCCTAATGGTTGCATCTAAGTTGATACGGGACAAGGCAAAAGGGGTTTAATGCACCAATGACCTTGTATATGAGTTCACCACCCAACAAACCCCACCCTTTGGAGTTTACGTGAACCCATGAGTTTACGGCCGTGAACTCCTCACTTGGTGGTTTTGGGTGTTTTGAAGTGTTATCTTGATCCTAGAATAAGCCTAGCCTTGTTGGAATAATCCTTGAAGTAGTTTAAGGCCTTGGAATGCTCCTTTGGGGAGTTTACGGCCAAAGGACCATATCCCCTAGAGTTTACGGCCGTAAACTCCTATGGGGTGTTGGTTTTAATTCATTTGAGGCCCTTGCACATGTAGGATAGCTTCCATGTTTTTATCTAAGGCTAAAGGGGACATTAGGCACACATTTGTGCCTTTACTTGGAGTTTACGGCCCAAGATATGTTCCTTGGCCGTAAACTCCCTTTAAGGGTGATTTTGATGTTTTGTTCCCCATTCAAGTCCCAAGTAGTCAAGGTTAATTGTCTTAAGGCTTTAAGGGTGTTTAGGGCATCTTTAACACTTGAAAAAGGGGTTTACGGCCCAAGATCCTTCCTTGGCCGTAAACTCCTAAAACCCTATGATTTTGAAGTGTTTTGGTGTCCAAATTAAGCACAAGCATTAGAGGGTAAAGTCCTTAAGCTTTAGGGGGTGATTTAGGGCACTTATAGCCCCTAAAAAGGGGTTTACGGCCCAAGAGAGTTCCTTGGCCGTAAACTCCTATAACTAGGGTTTCTTTGTTGATTTCTAGTCTCAAATGTTTATACATTAACCCCTAAACAAGTTGTCTAACAAGGAATCGGGACTAGGAAGCCTTTAGGCTCCGTTTTGGAGTTTACACCCCCAAGAACGTTCTTGGGCCGTAAGCTCTCGGATCTTGTATTTTGGACATGTAAACAATGTTATAAAGCATATAACAAGTATTAAAACACATTTCTGAAAGTAGACTCACAATCCGGGATGAAAACCCGAAGATCCGTCAGAGAGAAATGGCTTTTCTCTAGTTGGAATTGTGAATAATGAATTATTTAAATTCAGAAATCTATTTATAGTCCTGAAATATTTTGACAGAAAATATTTTTATTCCAGAAGTCGGACTATAACATTATGAAACTTGAAATGTTCAAGTTTCACAATTACAGGAGCATCCACTCTCCTGATATATCTAGAAACGTAAACCCTAATGTACACAAACTTGTTCGGACAAGTCTGAAAATCACTGAAACTTGACTAGCTTCTATTGAATAGATAATGTTCGTACAATTGGAAATTTCGGGTTGCCACATTTGCCATGTCCACATTAGCTGTAAAACAGTCATGATCAAAAACAATTGTTTAGAGCAAGTAGGATGTTGATCAATTTCAATTATAAGAACCTTACATGGATTGGGGGACATTAACTATGTATGCAGTTTGGTTTCACCATGCGCTGTGTACACATTTATTAGCTTATGTTGACTGACATATCGAGCCAAATGGTGAATATCATCATCAGAACCCAAAGCAAAAAAGAACAAATTCCAAATCACATAAAGGTCTTTGAAAATGATAGTACTTCTTCGTCACCAAGTGGGGTTCAGCACACCCTAGTTTTTCCATTATATCGTCGATGTCATGCACCGAAAATGTGTCAAAATATCAATTAAGTCAACATAATTTCGTTTTCCCCTAATATACTTTCTTCCTGGAAAATCAGTAAATTTTCCACCATGGTGTAACCTTATAGAAAATACAGTCGGATGCGTAGTTGTTTTGAAATGAGAATATTGTCATTAACCTTTTATGTGAAAAGAATGGAAAGATTACAAATTCGAAAATCTTGGTTTTTAAACATATCGTATCTAGAATGAACATCAATTTCTTCCATGTTTGCATGTATCCTCCAACTTGTCATGCTTGTTCGTCAATGTTGTCGTAGGGTTTTAACGTCAATTAGGGTTTTTGTTTGGATGGTGATTTTTTGGGTTTTCTTATCTATGAGAATGGCTTGTGATCGTATAGACGTTTTGCATTCTACATGGCGCTAAAAACTATCTTAATGAATGAACGAAAATACCCCCATTGTGTAAGGCATGTGGGGCATTCTCACTGTGAAATGGACGGAATGTTAAGTTAGGGACAAAGCGGGTAACAAATGTCAAATATTTTGATATTCCTAGTTAAAAAAATTAAGTTAGAGACAAAGCGTGAAAGTAACCCCAAACCACAGGGACCATCCAAATAATTTTCTCCAAAATAGATGAAAGTTGGGAATAACACACTTAAAAACGATGAAAAATAAAGAATGAGAAACGATGCGACGTTGAAAGTAAAATATAATATATAAAAACCGAGTAAAAAACAAAATGTGAAACATGAATATAACACATAGTCTAAGAACCTATACAACTTATTTTTAGTTTTTTACCATGCATAAAATGGGTGACACCATGACAATACATATTAATTAATTTATTTAACACATACCTTTTGAAGTTAACTAATCACACAAATGGTCCCTATTGTTAGACAACGTTTGCTAGTTCGGTTCATCTTTTTCTTTTGTTCCAATCTTGCCTATAAGTTTGGGTTTTGCTACGGTTTAGATCTTGAGTTGTTAAATCTATTAACTTATCATCCAATGTTACACCAAATTTGCAAAAACTTACATGACATGCTAAACCGACACAAAACAAGATTTTTTTCATAATTTGTTTGGTAGTGAGCTCACCTACTCTATCCAAAAAATAAATAAACATACTTTTATTTTATATATATATATATATATATATATATATATATATATATATATATATATATATATATATATATATATATATATATATTATGAAAAATAAAACCCCAATCAGACTTACTTTTTCAATTTAGTCTTTTACTCTCCAAGTAGTAGAAGGTTTCCACACAAACCAAAATCCAAAAGTACATTTAGCATCTACCTTAACAAAATCAGACTTACATTACTACACCCATCACCAAAACTTTCCAAATAAACAAAAATCAAATTCAAAAAGCCACATCAAGTTTTACCAAAATATCCTCAGGCCCTAATCTTGACCATCTTGACTCTCATCCTTCACAAGTCTAATCATGTCATCAATCCTCAGTATCGTTATAGCCGCTTCTGTTGCAAACTGTCACACACAAACACAAACACATTTCCTTTTTCTTTAATATCATTATCTCATAATTTAAATTAAAAAACAAATTATTAAAACTAATAATTCACCTGAAGTATCTTCACTTTACTCATCGCAGGCTCTATAACCCCAGCTTCCAAGTTGTTCCGAACCGTACCCTTCACCAAGTCCAAACCCATACTGAAAATTCAAAGCCAAAACAGCATCAGTAAAAGGGCATTTTCGGTATTTCATTTATAATTAAAAAAAAAAAAAAAAAAATTCACCTCGACAGATGTTTCTTATCCGCCTTAGTTTGTGCAGTGTGGTGATACGCACGCAACTTAGCCACCAAATCAGTCGCATCCTTTGCAGCATTCACAGCAAGAACCTGGACATTTATCATATCAAAAAAAATAAATTATCAACATTCATAAGAAATTAAATTAAATATTTTTAAAATTTTAACCAAAAAAAAAAAACCTTTGGAATTATCAGTAATGACTCAGCAAACTCTGCAATCGCCAGCTGTTCGCGGGACCCCAAAGTTGTAGCAAGGTACTCCAAATACACAGATAAAGCAGCCTCAACTGCACCCCCTCCTGCAACCACCTAAAAAGAACAATAATATAAATCATAAATAAATAAATAAAACTAAAAATTAATATTTTTTTTTCTTACTGTATTGGATTCGAGAGTTCTTTTGACAATACATAAAGCATCATGTAACGCCCTATCCATTTCATCAAGCATGAAGTCATTAGCACCTCTCAGAATTATCGACACCTGTTTAAATTGTGTCACAAAATTAATTACTTTTATATTAAAAATTAAAATGAAAACTAATTAAAAAAATCACATTCACATACAGCCCCTGTTGTTTTGGTTCCTTTGATGAGTATGACATCATCATCTGCAATTCGCTCCTCCACTACTTCATCTGCATATCCAAGGAAAGAGGCATCAAAAGTTTCTTCACCTTCCATGTCAGCAAATGTTGAAACCTACACATAATAATAATAAAATAATTAATTAATTAACTTCAGATATTATTAATTACCATAAAATAATATACAAATATTACCGAAGTTGCCCCTGTTGCCTTTGCCACATGGCGTAAATCCTCCTTACGCACACGTCTCACAGCAATTGCACCAGCCTCCACAAAATACTGATTTCATCCAAATATAATAATTAATAATCAAAATTTACATATTTGTGTATGAAAGAAGGGCAAAAATGTCAAAAGGGATACCTTGAGTGCCATGTCATCGATACCCTTTGTGGTCAAAATAACATTAGCACCAGCTTTTAGAAGCTTCTCGATACGTTCTTTAGTCACATCAGATTCTCTGTAGAACAATATAAATAAGTTTATGACATAAATAAGTTTGACTAAGTTTGACCAAGTTTGACCACCTTTGACGAATCTTTTCCAACTCACGTGGATCAGTGACTAAAACTTGAACACCTAATTGCATTTTTGTTTTTTGAAGATTAAAATCAAGACATGCAATTCTTGCAGGAGAAACTCTCATTGGCATTCCTTGAGCTGCACGTCCAGTATTAAGTGCATATCCTTTTAATAAGTAACTTTCTTTAGCACTTTTTCCATGAGCTTTAAGGATATTTATTCCCTACATTATTAAAATTAAAAAACATTGGAAGAGTTTAACAAAAAAAAAACATTAATGATGTAATTATAGTCAAGAACTAACCTTGATTGGATACTTGATTTCGCCTCGTGCGTTTGTCATTTTAACAGATTGTACTGCTTCAACAACCTAAAGATTCAACCATTTATTTTATTTTTTAAAAGGAAATAGAAAATAGAAAATAGAAAAGAAAAAGAAAAGATTTCTTTTGGTAATTAAGATATACCAGATTTGCAAAGAAGTCATCATCAGTTGCTAACAGTTTAGAAGACATGCTTGTTTTTGCACAGTTTACAAGAGAATCCTTTCCAAGTTTGTCAACCTTAAAGAAATGAGAAAACATACTGATTAATATATTCAAAAGCAGTTTTTAAACTAAAGGTAAAAAGTAAATTTTGACATGTTTGGATAATGCTTTTTACCTTAACTGACAGTTTTTCTTCAACATATTTGCAAGCTTCTCTCATTGCAAGCTGTCGGCATATAAAAAGAATCCATGAGTATTAAAATTTAGACTTGATTGAATTTCATCAAGTATTGGTGACACTTACTCTGTATCCACTTATCACAGATGTGGGGTGAATCTTGTTTTTGACAAGATCATTTGCTCTCTGAAAAAAAATTATCAAAACAATAGATTAAATAAGGATTTTCAATTAGGGTTGTGACACATTTGCCAAAAGAAAGATGTGTGATCTAGGGAACAATACCTTGAGTAACTCGGCTGCTATGATGACCACAGAAGTAGTTCCATCTCCTACTTCTCTATCTTGAAGCTCAGCCAATTCAACAAGAACCTAAGTTATAAGAAATTCAATATATGTAATTAGATAAAAGTAATAAGTCTATATTGCAAAAGAAAATAAAAGAAAAAGAAAGATGCAATTTGATATGTCTCACCTTGGCAGCTGGATGCTCAACATCTAACATCTTGAGAATTGTAGCACCATCATTTGTGATGGTTACATCCCCAATATCATCAACCAACATCTGAGACACAAAATCATATGAATTACACTAAGGGAATCTGATTTAGATGAAAAGGAATATAAATACAACTATACAAGTGCAATGGACAATGGACAATGTAGTCAAAAGAACAATATTATAAAGAGTTGCCAATGGCCTTAGGTACCTACCAGTTAAGTTGATAAATTCCTGAATGGCAAACTTTATCAGAAGAGGAAAATGGATGCTATGTGCAACCTAGAGATATTCACACTGGATATATCTAGATTCACTCTAATGGATTTCAGTTTAAGCCTGTCATAGCTAGTTTTGGAGTAAAGGCCTCTTAATCCAAGTTCTAAAGCTAAATGACGGGTTAAAGATGGACGTAAGTATATTAACACCCAATGGTTCTTCTATGTGATCTTTATTGCGCAAACAAATTTGATCGAGGACACGCAAATCCGCAGAAATCTAACAGCGTAGAAGCTAAAGGAAATAACGGAAGCAAAAAAAAAAACAAGAGAAAAGAGAGGAATATGTATAATACCTTGTCAAGGCCAACTGGACCAAGTGAAGTCTTCACTATGTTCGAAACAGATTGACAAGCAGTAACTGAAGAAAAAGATTCAAAATTACTTGAGTATGGGTGTACATTTCATTCAAAAGTAGATCTGTTAGGGTTTTAGAAGTTGAATGCTTACTATTTTGTGTGCGAACATCTTGACCGGATTGACGATCCCCGAGTATATCAGGCGCTTGTGAACCTAGAGACATAGCTGATTATGAGTATTACTGTATCTGAAACTACAACTGATATTTCTCCAAGAACCCTAATACTGTGAACTCTTGATGTCTGCTCGTACTACTAGTGGAGGTTTTCTAACTCGGCTTATTTATTAACCAATAGGTTTAGGTGAACCGGGCCGAGTTGAACCGTTGGCCTATGCCTCTTTGAGAAAGGGTAAAAATGTACTTCACACTTTTTTTTAGAGAAAATTACATCGATGTAGATTTGATTAAATTTTTTTTTTTTCACGAAAAAATTAGATGAATGGTCCTTTATATGTGATTAATGATTAAGGTTTTTTTTAATACAAAATTAGATTAATGGTCCTTTAGTTTCGGATAACTTATACGTTTATTCCTTAATTTTATTTTTAATTCTGATAATTTTTCATTTATAAACTTGTTGCATGCTTGGTCCTTTTTTAAGGATGTTTATTTTGTCCGTTAAAACCCATGAGTGCCTTGTACAATATGGTATTTTTATCCTTTTATTATAAGGTCTCAATAAAAATCATTCGATCACAATGGTGTCGATACCTTTCTGTCATTTCTTCTTTAAGTTCTCTATATTTTTACTCCCACCTTTCTCCTTATATTCTTTCACGAAAATCAACAATGATAAGATGTATTTAATGTCTCAAATTTCAAACCAAAATTTTCATTTCCAAAATAGAATATAATAGCCAACTCCATTTCCAAAAGTAATATAAAAACCTAATTGTTCGACATTGTAAAACATAGTTTTCAAAATAGAGTAAAGACATAGAGTTAGCGGAAGTCTAAAACATAAATCATCAGCGATGCACGTGCAGTACAATCAATTGGGCCTTTTCCACGAATAACAAAACCACCTGAAAAACATGAATCAACAACTATAAACGTAAAACTTGGTAAGTTTCCCAAAATACAACATACCATAATACATAAATAATCCATACAAACAAGGACTCGCGGCTCTTCTTCCGTTCCATCATCAATAGAGACTTACGGCTCTCATGTCATTCTGTCATCAATAGAGACTTACAACTCTCATTTCATTTTGTCATCGACATGGACTTTTAGCTCTCGTATCGTTCCGTCATCAATAGGGACTCATGACTCCCGTATCGTTCCGTCATTAACAATAAGTATTCTAGGTTCACGACTCTCATGTTATTCCACCGTTAACCCCTCAAAATGACATATCAACATACCATACAACCAAGCAATTAACATACAAACCAAAGAAATAATACTTAATTCATACCAAGAGTTGCACACACATGTATCAAACACAAATGAAGCATAAAAATTTACAAACTTAAATGAATTTAAAAAACAATTCTAAACCATTCACAATCATCGTTGCATTGCATGGGGAATTCACTCAAAAACTATCCACTAAAACATATAGTATCATACTTATCCCCGCTTCAGGTAGTAAATCTAAGTCACATCCCCAATATGTTACCCATTAAGGTTGATTCATGTAGTAAATCTAAGCCCAGTCTTCGATATGTTACCTACTAAAGCATGTAATCTCTTATCCGTTCCGGTCGGGTCCCTGTTGGTAGTGGAAAATGAAGGGTTTTCTATGTATCTCTATATGAATTTTAGGCAACGTAAGTATTTAATAATAACCCTAAGTGTAGATGCACCCTAGATATAGGTTTTACTATTATGGAAACTTACTTTCAAAACTATGAATCCAAAGCTATAAGAGGGATTGGATTACTAACCTTTCAAGTATGATTGTATATACTTGTGTTTCTTGAAGATCTTAAACTCTTGAGTTTCTCTTGGAAGATCTAGCACCCAAAGTAGGAATTTCTCTAATGGCTCACACACAAAAGTCTAAAACCCTAGGAATTGAGGAGAAAGGAGAAACCACTTGAGAAAATTAGATTCTCTAAGTGGAAGGAAGATTAGGAATGGAATTTTGAAGGCTCTAAAGGTCTATTTATAACTGAGATAACTTGCAAATAAAGCTTATTTGAATCAACTAAATAATCATATTTAATCCATATTCAAATCATTTCCTTGTCATTTACTAGGAATAATTTTAGAATCCTTTTAGGCCTCCCAAAACTGTACACCCTCTTTATAGATTCCAATTTCTCTTGCTTAACTATTGAACAATTAACATTTAGTTCATGCACCTTTAATCAATTCTTAATTAATTCTAATTAATTCCAAATAATTCCAATTAATTCAAATCAATTCAAAATTAATTTGACAAGTTTATAATTAATTTATCAAGCTTTGATAAAAAAATAAAAATAAAAAAATAAAAAAAAACTATTTATCTCACTCTATTTGTAACGTCTCGTATTCTACAATAAATTTTTCATTTTTAAAATAGAATAAACATCCATTTTTAATAAAATTACATTTAGGTCAACCCATTTGTTCATAAACTATTATTTAGAAATCAGAGTTATAAAGAAGACAATGTAGAATCTCGAATCATAAAATTGTTGATCTTTATGTACATTCTCGCCTTCGCAATCTGATAGGTGCTTGAAAAATATTTAATCCACAACTGTATAAAGCTTAGTGAGTTCCTCAAAATATCACATACATCATAGCATAATAATTAGCTATGAGTTATGAGCAACCTTGAGACTGTCAACAATCTTTATTATCACATACAACATAACATAATAAACAAATATGGTTCTCAGCAACCCTAGTGATTATCAACAATCCTAATAGGCTAACAATATGCCTTGTGGTTTAACAACACACCTCGCGAATTATCAGCAACTCTCGGGACTATCAGCAATCCCATGGTCTCACAACAGTGTAGGAGTTACCAACAACTCAGTTTAACATATAACAACAATAAACCAATAAGACCTAGTTGGTCAACATATATACACTACCACACAAGTAAATATAATGAGGAGACTCGCCTGAACGAAGAGTTGAAATCCACTACTTAAAGTCCTACAAAGTCATCTATACAAACCTCATAAACCAATCATAAGCTAAATCTCAGACTATAACTCAACACCTCTCTAAGTTTGACTAAAAGTCAAACCGGTCAACAGTCAAAGTCAGCCAAAGTTGACCTCCATGCCGTGGCCACCCATAGACCATGTTGTGGCAACTACACAACAAAATAGTCGTGGTAACACTAGTCTCCACATCGTGGGAACTGGGCTCTCACAGCTTAATAGATTAAGCTCTTAACCCTTAACCCCATGAACAACAAATCTCAAATCTAAACCTTCCTAAGGTCTAGATGGATAAAGTTAACTTTATCCATTAAGACATCTGTGACAGCCGTCAAATTCCGATCAAGTCAAAGTAAAATAAAGTCAACAATTCAAACCGATCAGCTCATATAACCCTTGTATAATAGGGTTTACACTATGTTACTATTATGCAATTCACTATTTTAATAAAAAGTTATCACTTGGAAAGTTCATTAGTTCAGAAATTTCAAACCCTAATCGAGGTAAGTGATGAAACTATTCGATAAAACGTTATTTCATACCCCTTGGGGGCATAAAACCATCATAACTAAGCTTAACGGGGTGTATGAACCTTGCATTGCGAAGCTAAACATCCAAAAAGGTTACAAACGAAGTCTCTCTCAATCTCTCTCTGTCTATCTCTCTCTCGTAACCTCCCTCGACTTTTTATAAAGATTTGGGGGCATCCCGACCCTTAATTTAGCCAAAAACTACGCAAAACGGAGAGTTAATGCGAAAATCAGCCACTTAGGGTCGAATCCTCTTAGGACCGAAACCCTAAGAGGCGAGACCACAAGGAACCGAACCTCCCTAAGGAGCCGAGACCCCAAGGAACCGAACCTCCCTATGGAGCCGAAACCCTTGGAACCGAGCCTATCAGAACCGAGCATTTTCAGAACCGAACTCGCTATAGTCGAACCTCGCATAAGCCGAAACCGAACCAAGCGAACCGAGACCTCTCCTTTCAGACCGAACCTTCGCCTTCGCCTCCTTACTTCTGCGTTTGGTTCCTCGCCTGCGAATCTATCCGACCGAACCTCTCTCTCGGTTCTCACCTCACAACCGAACCCTCCTCTCGGTTCTAAGCTTTAAAGTACCGAACTTTGATCCTTCGTCCGGATCTTCGCTGATTCGCTTCCTTTTCCCGGTTTTTGCCCATTTTCACGTTTTAAGCCCATTTTTCGTGATTTTACGCGGGATTTTCACCCAAACTTATATTTTGACATATAAGACCCCATATTTCCATAATCTAAACACATTTGTATGGAAATCTTTATTTAAGAATAAAATAAGGTGGGTAAGTTATTTAGGTGGAGTGTTGACTTATCCTTTATACAAGAACACAAACAACCTCCCACACTTACTCCAGGGCCATACCCAACCACTATTCCCCTATACCTAGTCAATAGTTGTCATTTTCCCACCATTTTTCTAGCCATACTCTTGATCAAAGGCTGGATAACTCTTATCTCTCCTCCCATTACAGTCATTCTCCACCAAGAAGCAAAAACACATTCTTTCTCACTATCCCTCTCTAATCTCGAAAATTCAAGGCTGATCACAAGCTCTTCATCTACTCCTAGTAAGTAATATCACTCCTCACATGAATATTCCTCTTTTCTTTCTACTTAAATCATGGATATCTTACACCAACATCATCAAATTTGTGTTAGATATTTGGATCTTCAAGCAATCTTCTAAGTGTTCTTGAGTTGAACACTTATTTTCTTCATCATCCATCTACTGAAATCACTCAAGGTGAGTTCATACCCCCACATTTTCATGTTTTCTTCAAGTTTTAGGGGGGGGGGATACAAGTTAAAACACCAATAACATAACTAAACTCAAACAACAGCTTTCAACAGAAAACTTAATGTTCATTCACGAACTGTTTTGAACATCTTAAACTTTTTATTTTTCAAAATTGTATTAGGTGCAAATATTTTAGGTTTATACCTTTAAAATTACTAGTTTCACATGTCTATACGATTTTTCTACAATTTATGGTGATTTTTACAAAACTGTCTATCACTGTAGCTACAAATTTGGACTAGTTTGTGGATATGAACATTTTCACACCAGTTAAGGACTTCTAAAAATCATAATAAATTTT